TATTCAGTTCATTGATATGTTTGACTTTGAACTGAAACATAAGAAGGGCTGCTACAATAAAGTAGCAAATGCCCTCTCTCGTAGGCCTGACCCTTTTGCATTGATCTCCTCCACTCACTCCTTTGGAGAGGAGACCCGTCGGATCATTGCTCGTCTACTGCCTCAGGACCCGACTTATGGACCCATTGTCAGGAATCTGCAAGAAGATCCTAACTCTGAACCAGGCTATGCCCTGAGTTCAGACCTGCTGTATACTTACAACAGAGGCGAGGAACGCTTGTGCATTCCCCAAGACCAGCGCCTCAGGACATTGCTGATGTCAGAATGTCATGATGCACGCGGACATTTTGGGTTCCTAAAGTCATATGCCACCTTGTTGCAGCGCTTCTTCTAGAAGGAGATGCGGAGTGATCCACTGCACTATATTGAAACCTGTGAGCTCTGCCAGAGAAATAAGGTCCAACGTAAACCTCCTCTGGGACTGCTCAAACCCTTACCCATACCTGATGGCCCAGCTGAATCTGTGTCCATTGACTTCACAGATCTAGGCAAGACCACCCCTCGTGGCATGCGTCAGGTGATGGTCTGTATGGACAGGTTTTCTAAGTACACAGAGTTCATCCCCTTGCCAGAAGTAGCTAGGGTCCCCGCTGTGAGAGCAGCGTTCTCAGAGAGTTGGGTCACTCACCATGGACCGCCCACTTCTATAGTCAGTGATCGAGATCCATGATTCTGCAGCAATGAGTGGCAATCCTATTGTAAGGATTACCTACACTCATGATGGGACATGACTTCTGGTCATCATCCTGAAGCCAATGGTTAGGTTGAAGTGATGAACCAGGTCCTGTTCCAATTGTTGCGTCCTGTCATCTCCCCAGATCAACAGGACTGGGATCTCCACCTGGCTCACACACAGCTTGTATACAATACCTTTGTTCATTCCTCGAATGGGTTCAGTCCATACCGCTTACATTGGGGACCTGAACCGCGACAACCTCTTGATGATATCATCAACAAGGCTAAATCTGATATGACACCTGGCACTGCAGAGTTCACCCGACGCTACAGAGTCGATGTGGAAAGGGCACGGGCGAACTTGTTCAAGGCTCAAAAGGCCATGATTGAACAAGCTAATCGCCACCGACGTCCTTCCCCCATTCGTACGGGCAATCACGTCTGGGTGGCCAGTTCAGAGATGTCGAGGGAAGAGGATATCTCTCCCAAGTTGTTGCCACGTTACCTGGGTCCGTGACAGGTATTAGATACAATGGGCTCCGATCCTTTTGGCCCGTCGTACGTTATCGGCGTCCCACTGCATCTACAGACCTATCCGGTCTTCCATGCATTTAAGCTGCTTCCTTTCATTCCAGCTGATGCATTCCCAGACCGGCCCCCTCAGTTTGGTCCACCCATCCCTGGTAAGGGATATGATGTGAAGACCATCGAGGATGAGTGGGGCACTGGCCCCGACCGGCAGTAGCTTGTGAACTTCTATTTCCAGCCTCATACTGAGGATCGGTGGTTCACCAGGAAAAAACTTCTCAAGACAGCAAAGTCTATAGTTTTGCGTTATGAGGCGGCTCAGAAGGGTTCACTTCCTCGCCGTTCTCCTCGTCTACACCCTTAGCTCGGAGGTCCTCGCTCCCCGGGAGGGTAAGCCTGCAATGACTTGCTGGTTTCTGCTGCCAAGATCTGATTGCGAGGTTGTATAGTCGTGTCAGGGACTAACCGCCGGTCCAATCCTGAGGGAAATTCGTGAGGGACATATCTGCAATTTACACGAACATCGCAGGCCCGAGTTCCCCTTAGCCGGCATGGCCCTTAGCAGACCCGGGCTATCACTAGGACAGCAGGCCCATCTGGGCCTTGGGCTATAGAGACGGGTTAGGTGCCGTATAGCCGGGTAGGGCCCAGGCCGAACAGGCCAAACTGACGTGGTACCGGTCCAGTGGGTCTAGGTCTAGAATAGGCTAGTCTATTAATAGGACTGAGCCAGTAGGTTAGGGACTTTTGACATTTCATTTTCGCGATACAGCGTTCTGGAGCCAAGCAAGTTTGGGGGCGGTGATTGTCCACAGGCGGCATCCTGAGACCCTCATCGTGGACGGCAGCCATAGCCAGCCTGCCGGTGGTTGGCATAGTTGGGGCACCCTCTACGCATCTACCTCTGGGGGTATCTGCGATTGGCTGGGCTGTTTAGAGGCTCTTCACGGAGTCTACGTGGGTGGACCACTGTCGCCCTTCACTCCTTAAAGTTTGTCAGGGCTTCGTCAGTGGTGTGGCAGCCATAGCTGCCATCTTCTTCGTCAGAGTTCCTCATCGGCACTGAAGACTTCATTACGATTCCTGTTCCTCATCTGGATGGCTGGCGCTGACCTCCGGGAGGTGGATTCTATGTGGCGCTACTAACTGGGTGTGGAGTAGAGAGTGGTGTGTGGAGTTCTGAGAGTGGCGAGACACTGGGATAACTCTGTAACGATTATTGGTTTGAGTGGGGTCATCACATGGTTACCGTCTGGATGTCCGGGCGGACGTCCGGTCCGGTAGGTCCAGAATATTAAGAAAAAAAAAAAAAAAAAAAAAATTTGGGGGGGGGGTTTCGTTCATGGCCCACATCCAAAAAAAAATGTTTGGGGATTTTTTGACTATTTTCCGGCCCTTTCAGAAAGCCGAAGAGGACCGGGCTGAAACTGATTCTGATTGTGTGTGTGTGTGTGTGT